TTGAGTAAATTGTTTGTTCATAAGGAATGAAAATCATCAATTCAGAATCTGATAAATGGAATCATGTCGCAATAACCTAGTATATGTGTTGAAGTTACGTTGTATCTTTTTATATAAAAAATGATGGTTTTTTTATAAGTAAAAAAAATGATGGTTTTTGAGAGAGAAAATCAGTAACTTTGATATTTAATTCTTATGACATTTGACAATAATTAAATTTGATTTATTTAATTTGAAATTTTTATTTTTCTTCATATTCGATGCATGAGTTATTGCCCTTAAAATCAAACGCACAATTTCTTTTATATGTGATAAAAAAAAGAGTTTTCGCACAATAAACTTTATAATAATGGAGTTTGTCTAGTAGGACTAAAAAATATAAAATATCAATAATTTTATATTTTTTAACCGTAGATATGTATAAAAAATTATACATATTTTTTTAATTTAATGTGATTTTAACTGGCTCAAACGATTAAAAACTGATAATATTAATAGAGAGACCTACTGAAAAAAAGTCCTTTCTAATTATCTTTGCAGGTGAATGATGCTTAACCAAATATTGCAAATTGCTACATCTTATTATTGGTAAATACTTGCGTAAATACGAATACTAATTTTTAGACCTAAATACTAAATTTTATCATCATCCTTGTATTAATACTTGCTATAAAGTATAACCACAAGTGAATAATTTCCTCTGATTAAGTTAAATTTTACCTATAATATTTTATTTTCTTACAGAAAATTTACTAAACATCATCCATTCCAGGGTAGTTGTAAGATCAACTTCATCATCATATTTATTGCAACATTTCAACTGCCCTCGAATGCTTTCTTCACCCTTTTTTTTTTCTTCTCAATATGCAATATTAAAGCTAGCCATCAATTTCACTTACCACCTTGTGATAATTTTTTGCCGTTGTATTCTTTTACGTGAAAAACTAATTATTATTTTTTGTAGGGAATAAACTAATTATTATTAGTCTAATTGTTATTATTTTTTTTTGAAAGGGGTCTTATTGTTATTATTATGATATCTATTTTCATTATTCTAATTTTTTTTTAAAGATATTTCATTATTCTAATTTGGTCCAATTGTTAGACAAGCAATTATTACATGCCTTGCTGACTCAATCACCTTTATCATTCTACCTCAATAATAATCAATATAATTGAAAATCTATTTTTTTTATTTAGAAAATCTACCTTTTTTTTTTTTTGCTAATGAAAATTTTAATATCTACTTAACTAATAGTAGTAAGTAGTTTTAACAACACATGTCATTTTTTTAAAGCAAAAAGTAAGCCGGGGTTTTAACTTTTTTAATTTATATAAGTTAAGATTAAGATATGTCTTTCAATATAATGGAGCTTTTCTTTTTCTTAAGAATGAAATAAAGGAGTATTTTCTTAGAACACAAAAAATATTTCATTCCGAATTAAGACATAAGAACATCCCCAATTATGAAATAAATCAATGGAAAAATTGCTTAAGGGGTTATTATCAAAATAATTTATCTCAGTCTAGATTAGTACCACAAAAAGGTATAAATATAGTAAATCAACACTCTATAGCTCAAAATAACCATTTAAACAAATATGATTCATATGAAAAAAAGCCATTAATTAACTCTGAAAAAAAATGTTAAAAAAAATATAGATATGATCTTTTATCATATAATTTTATTAATTATCACAACGAGACTCACCTATATAGTAATGGTATTTAATTATGAAGATTAGTTGAGTAGCTGACCCTGTTACTCCGTTCCTCCGTTCTTACAAGAGTCAGGGCATAATCTTTCTGCTCTTTAAATAGGATTTTACGGCTTAATGAATACCATTTGCTACCAATGGGGAATTCTTGCTCATTTTAAATTAAAAGTGAAAGTGATGGGATTACTCTTTTTCTAAAACACAGAAAAAGAGCAATTTATCAGCACGGGGTTCATATGGATTTCGCTTGTCAATTAAAATTATACATATATTTGTTTCACGAAGCACTACAATTTTGGCAAAACCAGAACACCATAGATGTTTTGTTTTAATTAATGGAACAAAATTTAGTTCGCAGTCCATACATAAAAAAAAAAAAAAAATGCATTACAATAATATGACTCATGGTTTGACTATATGATGATTTGGTTTGGTCGCAACGTGCAAGAGGCCACTTTAATTGCCTACCCTAATATAGCTTATTTCCGTTAATAAAAGAAAAGAAACTTTTATATACAAAAGCTCAAAAAGGAAAGTTAATTAACCCAAAAAGTTAAAAAAAAAAAAAATCACACACAATCTAAACGGTAAAAAAGTTAGGGAAACCCAACAAAAAAGGTGCAAAATTATATGTAACCAAACTGCTTAACCCCCAAATGTTCCCCCTTTTCCCTCTTATATCTAAATCCATAGAAAGAAAGTACTTTGAAGAAATTTTATTCAGAAAAAAAGTTTTTTTTTTGTTAGGACTAAAAAAAATAAATTATTAGTAGTTTTTATTTTTATTTTTAATCGTTATATTTGTACTAAAAATTATCTATTTTATATATTTTTTTAATCATATATAATTTTAATTTAATCTAACGGTTAAAAACTGATACTATTAGGAGCGTTTGGTTCATGAATTAGAATCATGTGATTAGAATTATTTTTAATTTACGTGTATTTTTTATAAAAAAGAATATTATAATAAACTATAAATTATGATTCAAATCATAATTTAAATTCTTCAATCAAACGTCTCCTTAATAATCCTGTTCTACTAAGGAAATTATAAAAAAAAAGTACTTTGAAGAAATTACAGTAAAAAAGAAACGAAAACGGAAAAAAAGTACTTTGGAGAAAACAAATCAACAAAAAAGGAAAAAAAAAAAGGGGGTTGGTGACTGGTGAGTTGGATGAGGAGGGTAGTTTAGGAATTATAAGAAAGATGAGGAGATAGAAGTAAATGAGGAGGGAATGAGAATCTGGGCCTTGTCGCCATGCCACTGTCCCAGAGATTTGTGATTGTGATTTTTGGACTTCCCTCTCGTAGTTCCTACCAATTGGACCCCAAAATCCTCTTCAGAGGGGATTTTTTTTTAATTAAAAAAGAACAGTTACAAAAATAATAACAAAAACTTAATCCATATTTTTACTTTCTTAATCACATATTATCTCCTAAAAAAGAAGTTCAAGACATGATGATTTCATTAATTGATCAACAAAATGTATTGTTTTCTTTTTTAGGCAACCACTTCTAATTAAAAAAGCTGAAGTTTGAGACTTTTGGATATATCACTAGTTTATAAGATTTTTAATACTAATTGATACAATATGTTAAATAAAACAAACTTATTTAAATTACATCACAAAATTTTAATTACGTAAGCAATTGTAATTCTTGTCATATTATTTGATACAAAAATTGTTTGATGTACTTAAACAATTACACTTCACTCATATTATTTGATACTTATACAAGCACCACATAAAATTGTCGAAAAGAGTCTAAAAATATTATGATGGATCACAATTAATGATGCAATTAACATATGTGTGATAAAAACTATCACATAGCAAAGCGAAATACAATTATTTTCTTTTCATATTTTTTCATGTGACAGTTCAATTTTAACTGCTAATGATAAATAATAACGTTTTGAATAATACTAAGACACTAACTCAAATATCAACTCTTGTGTATTAACTGATATAGCATGTGAGTTTTCATTTTTTTATTAGTAGGTGTTTAAAATATTGTCACGTCAATTAATAAAAAAGATTACATCTACCAATAAAAAAAATAACAATTTACGTGCCACATCAATTAGTATACAAAAATTAAAATTTGAGTTTGTGTCCCTAACAATATTCTAACGTTTTTTATTCTTTTGCATTGTGATAATTCTTCTTTATAAACACACTATTGATGATACATGCTCTTCATTTTGGTCCTACCAATTATTCTTTCATGGTTAAGTGGAGAATTCTATGGTAAGGAAACAATTTTTACCCATCAAATCTTCATTAATTCTATTAAATTACCCTACTTTATTTATTATGGTATGGTTCTAATTTTAGGGACACAAACTCAAATTTATTTAATCTAACAATTAAATATATATCTGATTTAATGTTAAGACCAGAATTCTCCCAAATTCCATTAACATCTTGAAATTCTGGATACAATTTTCTAAAAATAAAACTATTATCCAAAATGTAAGCTGAGAGAAGTACAGCAAAGAAAATACTTGGGCAAAAAATATAGGAATAACCTTTTTTTATAATTTAATTGTAGAGAGAGAAAGACACGGGAAGAGAGAGAGAAGGGGAATTACAAATTGGTTTATAGCGTGTGTGTAAAGTAGGGGGAGACAAGAGCGTATCTGTGAAAATCCAAAAAATTCGATTCAATTTGCTTTATAAAGCAAAGCACAGGAAAGTCTGCATTTAAAAAAGAAATAAAAAAAGCTTAGCTTAGCTTAGTTTAGCTTAAACTGTTTATCAAATTTCTTTCCTATTATCATTCATTGTATGTATTGTACATCACCACCAGCCAACTCCTCCACCTCTATCTCTCTCCTCACAGGAATGTGAACACTAAAACATTGTTTCTCTCTCTACAAGACCCAAAATCCATATCTTCTATTTCTCTCTCTTTGAGCTTCTCTCCTGTGTTTGCTTAGCTGTTTGTGTTTTGGGTCAATCTGTTGTGTTCTGTTTTGGGTTTCCATTATTATATGGAAGAAAACCAGTGAACGTGCTTCTTCTTTGTCTGCTTCTCTCTCTCTCTCTCTCTCAACTAAACTTCACGCTTTGGAATATAGAGAGAGAAACAGGAACATGATTAGAGTTCTTCCCATTTTTTTATTCTCCTCTCTTCTCTTCCTTTTCAACATTCACAGCCTGAGACAGCACAGTTTTTAGACACAGAGAGAGAGAGAGAGAGAGAGAGAGAGAGAGAGAAATGTAAAGGCTGTTTTGGAATTTGAGCTTTTTAATTTATTATTTCCATTTTTTTTATTTTTTAGTTTTTCTTCCCGGGTTTGCATCTTTTGAGAGCCATGCCTGTCTCTGAAAATTGAGATTTTTTGTTCTGGGTCTCTCTTTCTCTTTCTTCTCTCTACAAAGAAATGGAAAGTTAAGAGCTTTTTGTCATTTTGACAACTCTAGTTGCTCATTTCTCTTCTGGGTTTTCTAGTGTTGTATTGATAAATGTTTTTTTTTCCTTGATGGGGGTTGTTCTCTGCTTAGAAGTGCAAGAGAAAGCAAAGTAATTGTTTTTGCTTTTGTTTTTCCTGGGTCTTGTTCTGATGGGTGTGAAGAGCAATAAAATGCAGAATAACCACCAACAACATAACCATAACCATTCAGTGGTAGTGAGATTGAATGAGCAAATGGGGACAAAAAGAGGGTACACTTTTATTCAGGCATATAGAGCTTGGATCCCAAAGTTTCTAATGCTTTGGGTTGTTGTGATGGCGTTTATTAGCATGATGATCTACAATTGGATGGATGCTGAGATCAAGGAGAGAAGGAAAGAGGTCCTCACAAGCATGTGTGATCAGAGGGCCAGGATGTTACAAGATCAGTTTATTGTCAGTGTTAATCATGTTCATGCCCTTGCCCTCCTCGTTTCCACCTTCCATTACTACAAGAACCCTTCTGCAATTGATCAGGTTTGTGATACATTTTTTTTTTGGTTGCCTTTTGTTGTGTTCTCTTTTTAGAAGCCCAAAAAATTATTATGTCTATTTGGTTCCAGAAAAATTGAGGGATTTTGGGGTTCGTTTTAGTTTAGTGAGATACGTTGTTTGTTATGTCTATTTGTTGTTATGTTGGTTCCAGCAAAATTTGAGAATTTTTGGGGGGTTTTTTTTTTTTTTTTTTTTTTTTTTTTTTGGGGTTTAGTGAGACATGTTGTTTATTATGTGTATTTGTTGTTGTGTTGGTTCCAGCAAAATTGGGATATTTTTCGGTTTGTTTTAGTTTAGTGAGATATGTTGTTCTTGGATTGGTCATTACTACAAGAACCCTTCTGCAATTGATCAGGTTTGGGTTTCTGCTAGATTTTTTGTTGCCTTCTTCTATTATGTTCTCAAGGGGGGGAAAAAAAAAACAAACAAGAAAACACTTCCAAAACTTATTAGTATGTCTATTTTCTGTTGTTTTGGTTTGAGGAAAATTGGGAAATTGTTGGGTTTATTTTGGTTTAGTGAGTATGTTGTTCTTGAATTGGTCAGTTTGTTATATATTTGCTTAAAAGTTGGGACCAAGATGATTAAGTAGTGTACGGCATTGTTTGTGTTTTTCAGGAGACTTTTGCTGAGTACACAGCTTGTACATCGTTTGAGAGGCCTTTACTGAGTGGGGTAGCCTATGCTCAGAGAGTGGTGAATTCGGAGAGGGAGAGTTTTGAGAGGCAACATGGTTGGACCATAAGGACAATGGAGAGAGAGCCGTCCCCCGTGCGGGATGAGTATGCGCCTGTCATCTTTTCTCAGGAAACTGTTTCATACATCGAGTCACTGGACATGATGTCTGGAGAGGTGCTAATTGTTGGCCCAATTTGTTTGTGACGTTTTAGCCGTGAAGTTCGGAGTTTGGTTTTTCATTTGACTGATTGTTTTCACCCTTCATGTGCAGGAAGACAGAGAAAACATCTTGAGGGCTAGGGCTACTGGGAAGGCTGTGCTAACAAGTCCCTTTAGGTTGCTAGGTTCTCATCATCTTGGTGTTGTGTTGACCTTCCCCGTTTACAAATCCAAGCTCTCTTCACATCCTACAGTAAAAGAGCGCATCGAAGCAACTGCAGGGTAAGTTCGTGAATTGATTTTGGAGCAAGCAGTCTATGAAATGGTTTCTCAGGATTTTAATTTCTGTGAGCTTAGTTTGATGATTCTGTTTGTGTTAGCCATTACTTCTTGACCATGTTTGTTAGCATATAGAAAGGAAGTTGAGGTGGTAGAGATACTTTAACCACATAGTATTTAATGGACTGCATGGGTCCAATATCTTTTTATGTTTATGATGCTAGTTGCTGGCCGAGATCTTCTGTTGAAGGTACACTGTTTGGGCCTCAGATTTATCTGAAAAAGTCAAAGTTTTCTAGATGCATTTTGCAATACAAAGGCACTTCTTCCCCCCCACCCATTTAATTAATAATTTGTGGGACAGTGGGAGCATCAATTGCATTTGGTCAATAGGTCTTTAATGAACCGTCCTTTGATGAAATCCACTATTTATAACTAAGAAATTTTATTTTTTCAACTAAGCGAACTGCAATAGTTGAAATATGTTCTTAGTTTAGAATTTTATCGCAAGGCCACTGTGGTCATAATCATTTGACTCCAAACTGACCAATTTATCACCTTTAGTGCTAAGTTTCATATTTGCTTTTTGCACTTCTCACTGCGTGTTCTCATTGGAGAATGAGCAGGATTTTGCTTAACTTTAATTTTGTGCTTTTTTGAATGTGGATTCTCATTGCCTTTGGCTATAAAATGAAATTTACACCGAAAACAGATACCTTGGTGGAGCCTTTGATGTTGAGTCCCTTGTGGAGAAGTTACTTGGGCAACTTGCTGGGAATCAAGCGATTTTGGTTTATGTATATGACATCACAAACTCTTCCGATCCCCTAATCATGTATGGCCACCAAAATCAAGATGGAGACATGTCTCTTACACATGAAAGCAAGCTTGATTTTGGAGATCCATTCAGAAAGCACGAGATGATATGCAGGTATGGGCAAACAGTCATTAGTCAGCATATGAGAATATATACCGTTAGAGGTCTTATCTTATCAAACTTATATTTTGTTATTGAATTTTGGACAGATATCATCAGAAAGCACCTGCATCATGGACAGCAATTACCACTGCGTTTTTGTTCTTTGTGATCTGTATATTAGTGGGCTATATCTTTTATGGGGCTGCTAATCACATCGTTAAAGTTGAGGATGATTTCCATGAAATGCAGGAACTGAAAGTCCGCGCAGAGGCTGCTGATGTTGCGAAATCCCAGGTAGTGTTTCCAAACATATCCGAAAGTCACCCTCATTTCATGCTACAACTGTGTGATGTGATCTGAGTATTTCTTATTCTCTTGGTGTCAGTTTCTTGCCACTGTTTCCCATGAGATCCGGACACCTATGAATGGCGTCCTCGGTATGTTATTGATTCCTCCTTTTTACCTTTTTCTCATTCAAGATAATGTCATGTCAAGTTTCAACACTTTCTTGTCAGTTATGTATTTAACACCTGCGTGGGATTGCAGGAATGCTTGGTCTACTTTTGGATACAGATTTAAGCTCAACCCAGAGGGATTTTGCTCAAACTGCTCAAGTCTGTGGACGGGCACTGATAGCATTGATAAACGAGGTGCTTGACCGTGCAAAAATTGAAGCGGGGAAGCTAGAGCTTGAAGCAGTTCCATTTGATCTCCGTTCTATACTAGATGATGTCCTTTCTTTGTTTTCTGAGAAGTCCAGAAACAAGGGTATCGAAGTAAGTCCTATTGAACTTAAACAATTGCAACCTATTCTGTAATTTTTTTTTCTTTTCCAATAAAAAACAAAGAAATATATTGTTAGAATACTGGAAATGGGAAAAATCCATCAATACAAACGGTTACAAGGATCTAGGAGAGACAAGATGGTGTAGCGGAAGCGTGCAAAAAATAGGAAAAAGAAAGATAAATTACTAAGATCCATTGATTCACCTAGAATGCCGAAAGATCCGTTGATTCAATTGGAATGTCGGAAACAGATCCATTGGTTCATCTAGAATACCAGAAATATCTCTCCAAAAACCAATCTGTTAGAAAATATGTCTCCATCTCAATGGCGGTTGTCCTAGATTATTAAGCAAAGCCTGTATATTTATACTGACTGTGTATTGTTTTGGGTGATGTGTTGTGCTGTGCACTATAACATATGATTTTTGTAGATTAAAATAGGAATTGGCATGCATAAACTTATTGTAACTAATTTCATTCTTTTTCTGTCTTCCCTTTTTGTGGATTTCAACCGATATGGATTCGTAATTCACAATTCTCCACTTGGATATATAATTTGGGAAGTAAAGCTGGCAGTGTTCGTTTCTGCTAAAGTTCCAGATATCGTTATGGGAGATCCCGGGAGATTCAGACAAATTGTTACAAATCTCGTGGGCAACTCTGTAAAGGTATGTGCACCGCTTCAAGCTCTATTATCAAACTGAACTGGGAAAATTAAAATCTTTACTTAGTCCTGCTTAAGTTATGATCTGATTTCAAACAAATACTTATTGAGTCGAACTTTGAATTGGCCATGTTATTTTTAAACGTTTATGTAACTTTAATTTTATCTTTGAACCAGATTTCTTGCTATGAGTGATTATTTATTAACTTAAGCACTTGGCAGTTCACTGAACGGGGGCATATCTTTGTCAAAGTTCATCTTGCTGAACCCTCAAAGACGGTAATAAACGAGCCTTGTTTGAATGGAGGGTCAGACGAAAGTGTATTGACACCTGGGGGCCGTCAGTTTAAAACATTAAGTGGTCAGGAAGCAGCTGATGAACGGAACTGTTGGGAAACCTTCAGACATCTAATTGCTGATGAAGAATTCAGGTCTGACTCTTCAAGTAACAGAACGGCCAGTTTTGAAGCTTCTGACCACGTCACTTTGATGGTATGTGTGGAGGATACAGGAATCGGCATCCCGTTATCAGCTCAGGATCGCATTTTCACGCCCTTCATGCAGGCAGACAGCTCAACATCTAGACATTATGGAGGGACTGGTATAGGCTTGAGCATCAGCAAGTGTCTGGTTGAACGGATGGGTGGTCAGATAAACTTTGTAAGTCAACCTCATGTTGGAAGTACATTTTCGTTCACTGCCATTTTTGAGAGGTGCAAGAAAACCTCATTTAATGAAATGAAAAAGCCTATTTCCGAAGATCTGCCTTCTGGTTTTAGAGGACTGAAAGCAATATTAGTTGATGGAAAACCTGTAAGAGCTGCTGTCACAAGTTATCATTTGAAGAGACTTGGTATCCTAGTCGAAGTTGCCAGTAGCATAAAAATGGCAGTTGCTTTATGTGCAAAAAATGGTTCTGTCATACCTGGGTAAGCTTCTTTCAGTATTTATATTCATGTATTTGTGTGTCTGCGCACACACGCACTAAGGCAGTAGTCCCTTAGAGGATGAGTCCCTCGGGTGATATCTAACGGTTTAAATGGAATAAAGTTAATCTGGGGTTGAAAGGCAAAATAAGATAAACCAGATTTGTTATGCATCACCCTTCATTTGTTACCTCCTTTTAACTGTAATGTAATGTATATATTTATATAGCTATGGTTCTTCCGGGAGGACCGTACTTCCACGTAATATATAGATTACTCAATGTAGCATTCACCTTGGAAAGGAGTAACAACAGTTTAGGATAACTAAATTTTTTGGTGTTACGTATTTTCAACGTGCATGTTATGTTGAATAGATGTAATGTTACATTTCTCATTCTTATATGTTACGTGGAAGTATGGTCTTCCTAGGAGCAACATAGCAATTCCCTACAAGTATTGCATGGTAACTTTTGAGGAATGTTATTGATTCTTTGTCTGCACTGATCAGTTGGATAATATTGCCCTTAAACAAAATAGATTTTGAAACTTTCTTTTCCTTGAATCTTGCAGAAATATTGTGCGGCCTGATTTAATTCTAGTTGAGAAGGATTCATGGATTTCTGCGGAAGATGGTGGTTTGAACATAAGGCAGTTGGAGTGGAAACAGAATGGACATGTATTCAAGTTGCCTAAAATGATCCTTCTTGCTACCAATATTAGTAGCACGGAGCTCAAAAAGGCAAAGGCTACAGGTTTTGCAGATACCGTGATTATGAAGCCTTTGAGAGCAAGTATGATAGCTGCGTGTCTTCAGCAGGTGGGGATAGGCAAGAAGAGGCAGCAGGGAAAAGACTTGCTGAATGAATCTTCTTTCCTTCAGAACCTGCTCTGTGGCAAGAAAATCTTGGTGGTCGATGACAACGTTATTAACCGGAGAGTTGCTGCAGGTGTGCTGAAGAAATTTGGAGCTCATGTAGAGTGCGCTGATAGTGGAAAAGGAGCACTTGATTTGCTTAAACTACCGCACGGTTTTGACGCTTGCTTCATGGATATTCAGATGCCAGAGATGGATGGGTAAGTTACGGAACAGTATACTTAACTATTGAAAGATAATTTGACCATTCGCTTTGCATCTTCTTCTCTTTATCTTCATGCGTTTATTATGGCCCCGTTCATTTCGCTGATTCGAGTTTAGAATTCGAGTTTTGCTACAGTAAAAAGCTCTCACAAACAATCAAATCTAACTTTTTTGCTACAGTAAAAAGTTCTCACATAAAATCACATCTTAACTCGAATTAAAAACTCGAATCAGCGAACTAAACGGGCCCATATTTCTAGGGAAAATAGAATTGCATCTTCCTGCATTTTTATACCTTGCAATTTTTTTTCTGCTTTCTTGAAGATAATTTCCGTTTAAATTGAATGTTATTTGAAGGTTTTATTTTCAGTTTACACATGTAATTATGTTCTAATGGCAGGTTTGAGGCAACCCGCCGAATTCGGCAGATGGAGAGTGAGGCGAACAAGCAAGTGAACGGTGGATCCCCTATTGATGGAACTGCCAGAAATGGCGAGTGGCACACACCAATACTAGCGATGACAGCCGATGTCATCCACGCCACCTACGACGAGTGCTTAAAGTGTGGGATGGACGGTTATGTGTCGAAACCCTTCCAGGAAGAGAACCTCCATCAGGCGGTTGCTAAGATCTTCAAGTCTAAACCTGTTGAAGAACCTTAACAAGATTCCCACTTCTGAGAGCCTGGAACATTTTCAAATCTCTGGACCGTGTTGAAACATTACCAGCAATTTTGGATGTCACGCTGGTGCAGTCGTTTTTCCGGCAGAAAATTGGCAACAGATGGTTCCTCGGAACACTGAAGATTCTTGGCGACATTGAAAAACAGGTTTGCGCAATCATGTCTAACCAACTTCCGACTTTTAACTTGATTAGCATTCGAGTACATGTATACTACAGAACCTTCTGTCCCCACTTGTGTGTATAGATCCTTAGGGGAGTAGGAGTCAAATATGTAAATCATATTATTTTTGTATGCTTTCCACGAAAACTTTCCTTTTTCAGAAATGTCTCTCAATATCTTGATTTGTGCAATTGTTTCTTGTACAAGACTTGGTCTCAATGCCATTGAATGTCTGAGAAGAAAAAAAAAAAGAAGAAATGTTTGTGGATGAAACATTGCATGTCCTTGGACAAGATCAGATGAGCCTGCGGAAATCTTAAATTCAGTCGGCTAAAAACTGTCCCCAGCTTTTCATGGCTTTCTTTGGTGTTTCAGTTTAGAATGAGCAAAACACAATGCGTTAATTGCACTAGTGGACCCAGAACTTACCCGGCATTTGGCAATTTAGACTCTTTTAACTTTCAATTTTGGCGAATGAGACCTTACATTTGGAAATTTGTTGCGATTGTTGTTGAACTGCTAACTGGCTACTCCAAGATTTCTACGCATGCATTTCAAATTTTTTATTGGTTGACAAGTTGGACTTATAAACTTCTAAATTTTATCATTTTAGATCTTAATTACTGTTCCATTAATGGATATTCCTTAATCAATTGGACTGTAGTGTCAAGAATAGTCAAATTTAGAGTTTTATATACCAAAAGTAAAAGTTCAAGGTCTGATGTAAATAATGAAAGTTCCAGGTTGGCTTCTTTATCCCTCCACAAGTGGGCGTATGCAACAATGAGTATGTTTGTGTGGGATTGACAATAATTCTCGGATGTAATCATAAGTTCAAATATCAAGAAGTTAGAACTTAGAGGTACTTCTAAAGTGCCTTCACGCCAGCCTTCACAAGTTATCGTACCTTTTATAATTTCCATGTTTAAAATTCACAATTATACGGCTCAAATGTATGAGTTATCACTTTTTCATCAAAATTCGCAATTTAATTTAAATTTATACAACTTCAACTTTGGAAATTTGCAAATTTTCATGTAAAATGCTTAAATCCAACCACACCGCCATCTACCATCCCCCACACCACCATCATTAATCCTCTAGACAACACCACACACCTCATTGCCATTAATGTTTCGGCACAAGCACCTCCAAAACTCACATTCCCAAACTACACCGCATGGAGGCTCCAATTTCAAACGCTTCTCACTGGCTACGACTTGCTCGGGTTTGTTGATGGAACAAAGCCATGTCCGCCTTCCACTGTCACGCAAGAGGATGTCTCGACACCCAATCTCGATTATCTCCTGTGGATCTATCAAGACCAACTCTTGCTCAACGCCATCGTCGGCTCTCTCACACCGTCGCTAATCCCATTCATTGTGACTGCAAAAACGTCCTATGATGCTTGGATGACTCTTTCCAACACCTATGCTAAGCCGACTCGTGATCGTATTCTCGGTCTCAAGAGCCGACTCAACAACCCCGTTAAAGGCACTCAATCTATCACCGAGTTTATGCAAGGTATCAAAACCACTGTTGATGCACTAGCCCTTATGAACGTCTCGGTTGATTCTGAAGACCTCGTCATCAAAATTCTTAACGGCCTCGATGAAAACTATAAAGAACTCTCCAATGCTATTCAAGCACGAGAAACATCCACCTCATTTGACGAGCTACATGAGAAACTTCTCAACCATGAAGCACAACTAACGGCCAAAACAGATTCATCATCTCCTACCCCTGCCACGACTTTTCCTGCCACTCGGTCTTCTCCACAGAGTCGTGCTTCGCTGCCCCAGCCACCGCGTGGTCCGCCCTGCTTCTCTAACCAGTCTCACAGTCAGTCCGTTCGATCGCCGCATGCCTCCTCGAACGTCTCCCGGCCTCCATTTCCCGCCAGCAATCAAGGACAACGCCCGTATCTCGGCTGCTGCCAGTTGTGCAAACAACACGAACACTCCGTAAAATGATGTTCCATTTTCAAGCATGTGCCATGGACTTCCATTGCCCAACAGTCGCGTCCCCCGCCTCGCCCGGCCTACACGGCACCAAGTGCTCACACGGCCACTTATCCAATGGCATCTCCAACACCATCTGAATGGATCCTAGACTCGGGTGCTTCTCATCACGTCACTACCGATCTTGCAAACCTTTCACTTCACTCGCCTTATGACGGTTTTGATGACATTGTCATCGGTAATGGTAAAGGCTTGGTCATCACTCATACTGGCTCTCTTAACCTACCCACCTCATCCTCCCTGTCCTTCCCAAATACTCTGTGTGTTTCAACTATGACAAAAAATCTTATTTTCGTTTCCCAATTATGTAACACTAACAATGTTGATATTGTCTTTTCCATGTCTGGCTTTCAGGTGAAGGATCGTCAAATGGGGGCCCTTCTTCTCCAAGGACCACATAAGGACGATGTTTATTATTGGTTAGTTTCGGCGGGCTCATCGGCTCCACCACGTGCTCTCTCGTCTGTCACTCACTCCATGTCTTTGTGGCACTCACGTCTTGGTCACCCATCCCAAAAAATTATTAGTCATCTACTCTCGTCTAATGTTTTGTCTTTATCTTCTTGCTCTCTATCAAACTTTTCTTGTAATTCTTGCAAAATTAATAAAAGTCATAAGCTTCTGTTTTATGAATCTACTCTTACCTATTCGACACCCATTGAATTGATTTTTTCTGATGTGTGGTCTTCTCCTGTTCTCCCTGTTGATGGATTTAAGTACTACGTTGTTTTTGTTGACCACTTTACTAAGTACATATGGTTGTATCCTCTAAGGCGAAAAGCGGATGTTCTCGAAACTTTTGTCAAATTTAAGTCTCTTGTGGAAAACTACTTCAAAACTGAAATTGTTGCCTTATACACAGACAACGGGGGGAATATATTGCACTTTGTTCCTTTCTTACATCTAGTGGCATTACACATCTCACAACACTTCCACATACTCCTGAACACAATGGTTTTTCAGAACGCCTTCACCGTCATATTGTCGATACCGGTCTCACCCTTCTCCATCATGCGTCCATCCCTATCAATTTTTGGCAATTTGTCTTTGCCATAGCTACCTACCTCATCAACCGAATGCCCAAATCCAATCTCTCCATGATGTCTTCATTCAAAAAATTATTTGGCCGTTCACCTAACTTTCACAAGCTTCGTGTCTTTGGTTGTTAGTGCTACCCATGGCTGCGTCAGTATAACTCTCACAAGTTGGAACCTCAATCTTGTGCTTGTGTCTTTCTGGGATGCTCCTTAACACAGAGTGCCTATATTTGCTATGATCCATTGATGCTTAATATTTTTGTATAATAAATTTCTGCAAGCGTACGGTGTCAAGTTTTGAGTATAGGGTGAGTGAGTATCATCTCCACAGGGATTGGGTTTAGAATTGCCGTTAAGTATCGCGATTATTGTAACTTAACTTTATCTAGGCAACCTAATAAAATGATAATTAAGAACAAAAACAAAATAAATATAAAAATAAAAATAAAGTATATATACACAAATAGTCTAGGGACTTGATTTCGATTTATTATTCCTATGTTCATCCTATTATATAATCGCTAATCAATTCCGTTCAATTCATTAATCAAGGCTCTAATGTCACCTCGTAACCTCTCTTGAGTGCCTCATAAGGAACTATATTTAAATACCCAAAATAATATCCCTATTTGAAATGAATATTTAAACACAAATTAAGCTTCGCCTTTAGAATTAGAAAATAGGAATATTGATCGCCTCCCGGCCTCACAACAACCTAAATCCTAATTTGATTATCTAACCGTTGATCTCCTCCCGGTCTTACAACAACCTAGACTATGTTTCTCAAATCTAGATAAAGAACTCAATCTCTCCCGAACATCAAATTCGCAATCTAAAAATCATCTAACTCATTGTCCAAATAAATTAGAAGCATTAAGCATAGAGAAACATAAATGAATTGCAAACGAAATTAAATTAACAATCAACAAAATATTCAAAACATAGTTCAAATAAAACTACATCAAGTCCTAGATATAATGTCTAGCTCAACATGGAAAAATAGATGAAAGAAGATAAAACCCAAAATCCATTGAAGAGCTTTCAAGGACCTCCAAGATGAAGGATTTCGGCATCCTTTTGATGTTTTCTTCAATTTTCTAGGGCTTTCTTTCTCAAGTGGCATATATTTCCTTTTATACTACTCCATTTTGGAGCTAGGGTTTCATACGCACACTGTAGCCTGCATGAAAACGTGCTACGGTGCGCATTTTTAGAAGAGGAATTTCACTTGCAGGGGGCTGAGGCGCGTTGCAGCGCGCGGGGTAGGTGTTTGGGCGCTCTGCAGCGCCCATTGGGCACGCTACAGCGTGCGGGTCGGCTTCTGGGCGCGTGCCTGGGTGGTGGCCAGGGCGCGGGCGCGCGCCCCATTCTGACCTGGCTTCATTGATTTGGGCACGCGGGCTCTTTTTTCTTCTTTAGGCGATATATCGCCTATTTACAGGCGACATATCGCCTGTCACTCTATTACCTGCGCACCATAGCCCACTTTCTTGCATTCCAAAGCCTCCTATTTTGTGCCTTAAAATCCTCTTTCGCCTCCTCTTGCCATTGATTTACAAGTTGGGCAAATATTCTTCTTTTCTTCATGCAAAATCATCCAAGTTCGCATTTATTTATAATTCCTATAAAAAGCATACAAAAGACATTAAACTAACAAAAATGCTTGAAGACTTACAAATATTCAAGCTTAAAAGTACTTGATTTGTTGGTAGAAATACCCCTCATCATCCATCTTCCTCCAAAATATTCACTTCTCGTCATGTTGAGTTCATCGAAGACGTTTTCCCATTTTTTATGCCCGTCTTATCTGTCCCTCACTCGAGTCCTTCGTCGTCTTCCTCTCCTTTCTTTAAAGTCCCGGCTGTCTCGCGTGGTAGTGCTGTTAGTTCACCACTCTTGCTCAATGATGAACCCCTGTCCTCAGTCTTGCCTGCAGCCTCCAACGATGATTCCTCACCGCCGAACTCTTTCGTTATCTCTCTCATTCCCCAAGTCACTTCCACCTTGCCCATATTCATCACCAGCGGCCACCCCATGCTCACCTGCTCAAAAAATAACATTCACAAACTAAACCCCAAGTATTGCCTTATCTCTACCCCTCAACCTACTAACATTGAGCCCACAAGTGTGACTCAAGCCCTTACTGATCCACGATGGCGCTCTGCTATGTCCGCTGAGTTTGATGCGCTTCTTTAGAGTGGTACATGGGATCTTGTTCCTTCTAGCGGCTCGCAGAATATAGTTGGTTCTAAATGGGTGTTTCGAATCAAGCGCAATCCCGATGGATCTATTGACAAATACAAAGCTAGCCTCGTCGCCAAAGGCTTTCACCAACTACCCGGCATTGATTACTATGATACTTTCAGCCCGGT